CGTACGACTAGTACGTACTTACTTTACGTACTACGTACGTAACAACTACTACTAACTACTACTAACTAATAGTATTTACTTTACTTATAGTATATATATATATATATATATATATATATATATATATATATATTTAGTTTTTTTTTTTTTGGTAATGTTAACCTTTAATATATGAAAGAGAAAATTACAAGAATCCTTGATACTCCACAAGCGAGGATGCTCAAGGAGGAGAACAACAAAAAAGTAGAATCAAAATCCTCTTTTAAGAGGTTACAGTAGAATCAAAATCCTCTTTTAAGATGTTACAGTGTGGCACAACAACCTAGGAAAACAGGTTGATTTGCAAAACGTAAGGAAAGGCCAAAAAATAAAAACATAAGATCTAAACGTTATTCATCGCTGCTGCTTCTTTAGTCAAGGAGTCAATGTCCTGATTTCCTTCCCTCCAAGTATGCATCCATAGGATGGACATATTCCTACAAAGATTGTCAACCTCGTCAAAGACGTGTGCCAGAGACCAAGGAGGGGGTGAGGAAGAAAGAGACTTTGTCCAGGTGATGGTATTCTTGGAATCTCCCTCCACTACAAGCAAATTGTATGAGTTTGAGGCCTTCCAGGAGAGCTAGTGCTTCAGCCTCCATGGAGCCGTAGTGGCCAATGTGTTTAGAAGTTGTGGCCACAGTAGTACCGAGGTGGTCTCTGAGGATTGCTCCTATCCCTGACGGGCCGGGGTTGCCAAGAGAGCACTCGTCAAAATTGAGTTATAGGATGCTCAGAGGAGGGGGTTTCCATCGGGATGCTCTTTGCAGGCACGGTTGATGGAGTTGAAGGATATTTGCCCAGTCTTGGCTGAAAATCGAGGCAACAACTCCTTTGAAACACTGATAATTGCTCGCCCAAAAAATTGCTATGGATTTGAGATTATTGAAAACTTTGTAGCACGTTGAGAATTCCCCCCTGAAAATTCTGTTGTTGTGTTTGAGCCAGATGGTCCACAAAGCGGCTGCTACCATAGATTTCCAAAGGAGAATTCCAGCCCTGTGCCTAGGGTAAGGTTGGATGGAAGTCACCTCTTCTGGTAGCTCCCATTGCACATTAAATAATTTGAGCATGGAGTTCCAAATGTTAAAGGTAAATGGATAATGCAGTAGTCGATGGTCATTGGTCTCTTCGGCTTCGAGGCACATGATGCATCGATTAGGAATCGGGATCCCTTTTCTTTGCAACTGATCAACAGTGAGGACTTCTTGGGAGAGGGCCAACCACATGAAGATTTTGATTTTGGGTGGGGCGAAGGAAGTCCAAGCTTTGGCTGCAACAAGGTTCGGAGCTAGAGGGAAAGTTGGTGGGAGAGAGAGAGACTGTGATAGAAAGAGGAGATGTAGAAGGTTCCCGTCGGAGACGGAGACCAAATAATTCGATCTTGACCCGAGGGGGAAAGGAAGCAAGATTGAAGTTCAGCAGACAAGGTGGCAAAGTTTCCCTGAGATGTGGGAGATAGATTGGGTGAAAAAGGGGTTGGGTCAGGGACCAAAGCTTCCTTAATGCTATCTGGTGGTGGTGAAATAAGGCAAATAGGGGGAGTTGGAGATGCTAGAATGACCGGAGGGGAAGCGAGGGGTGACGGTGAAGGGGTGGAACCAAGGACAGTCAAGAAAGCAGATGGGGGTGGCAGAGATGGGAAGATGGTGGGTATGGGTGTGTCCTTGGGGAAGGTACGAAGTCGAGAAAGAAGGGGAAAGAAGAGCAGCAAAGGGGCCGGGATAGGGTTGGGGTAGAGAGATAAAAGTAGGGGGAGTAAACTGGGCAAGGTAGTTTGGAAAGGGGGTAGAGAGGCTACTAGTACAGCGAAGATGATGGGTGCACCACTGAGGGGGTGAGCCGGGATGCCTATGAGCACAGGGGGAAGAACCGGATTACTGGTGAGTTTTCGGCTGTCGGAACTTCAGTTGCAGTAGACTCCAGTGAGGAAGTTTGAAAGGTGCCTTGGTCTGCTTCCAACTCAGAGTGAAGGTCAATGAGAGGAGGTAAGAGGGGTATATCGGAGGTAGGGGTTGAGGCATCCTGCTGATCCAACGGTGATGATAGAGATACCAGAGGAAGAGGAGCGGACATGCATGAAGAGGTTGCAGGGGGGAATGATGAGGATGTAGAGGTGACAGGATGGTAGGCATTGAGGGCGGTGGTGACGATGGAGAATGTGTAAGATGGGGATATCCCCCCAGGGAGAGGAAGATGAAGGGATTGCGGCATGGAGCCGAATGGAATGAATGTAGGGTGATGGGAGGTTAGAGGTGAAACCTTCTCAAGATGGGGGGCAGGGGGTAGGTGTGTGGAGCTCTTAGTGGGAGATGTCGTACAGGTGGCCTGCATTGATGGAGAGGGTGTGGGGCCTATCAAGCACACGAAGATGAGGACATGTGCTCTCGAGGTAGTACGGTGAGCGACGTGGACAGGGCAAAAGGTGGCGGCAATCAGGCCGTTGTCAGTTTTAGAAAGTTGACATGGCGGCGGGTTGGTGGGACGTACCCGACCTGCTTCCATCTGCGTGAGGCACGTGGCACTGCAGTCAACGGCCACAGACGCCATTCCAAAGGCACCTGCAAGGGTGGCCTGGGGAGCCAAGATCTAAGGAGGCGGAGGCGAAGGCAGAGGCGAAAGCGGAGGTGGAGGTGGAGGTGGTGGAGGGGGTGGTATCTGATGAAGACGGTCAGAAGGCTGAGGGGGAGGAGGGTGAGACGGAGAGGCAAGGGGGATGGAAGGGAGGTTCAGGATAATGATGGCGGCCTCTAGGGGGTGGTTGAAACTTATGGAATTTGCAGTGCTGTCTTTCCGTGACACGAGGGTCCACTGGTTCTGGACCTCAGGGGAGAAGGAAGGAGAGCGGTTAAAAGAGGAGACTCCCTGTCCATGAGCAGGCTGAGAGACAAAGCGAGGCGATGGAGGAGAAGCTGCAAACCAGGATAAGTAAATCCTATAAAATTTTTTAGCCACCTTTGGGAAGAGGACAGTAGGGATACTCTGAGGGTCTAGGATGTCTACAATTAGATGTAGTGATCCCAGGAGCAGGCTTTCCATGGATTTTCAGTGAACAACGACAAAGGAGCCGCAGGCATTGCCAATGGATTTGAAGGTGTCAAGACACCATGAGTGAAGAGGGATATTTGAGGCCGTGACCCAAACTTTCTGACAGCGGAAAGTTCTGATGTCAACGGACCATTTGGAGAGAAGCATAGAGGCACCCTTGAATGAAAACGAGGTAGAGCTATTAAGAGCCGAGTTTGCTGAGGCAGCTAAGGAGAGGGAAAACAGAAAAGACCCATTCGAGAGGGGTCGACACCAGTGTTTTAAAAAGCGCTAGGCGGGTCCTAGGCGGCCTAAGGGGTCCAGGCCGCCCAGCGCCTAGGTGGGCGCCCAGAACTTGGGGCGGCCTAGTCAAATCCAAAAAGGATGCCCATTTGAATAAAAAAAGGATATACAGTATAAAATTTAAAAATTC